TTACTTACATTACACTTGAGTAAACTTCTTTGCTGAACACACGTGTCACGAGAGTTTCTCTGAGACGAACGGGGCAAACCTTACAATGTGTACATGAACATTTATCTTAATTCTCTCAGAAATTCCCAATGGTTGTTGTCGGAGAGCCAAAGGAAGGCCGATGAGACAGTAGCTCTAGCTAAGTCCTTGATGTAAGCCATGGAGACTGGGTATTTGGGATGAATATGCTCAGGCATACTAAGTAATTCTCAAGGTATCTTGTGATTTTCCCTTGGCTATTTATTCTAATGAAGTGCATTGTCAAGGAATAATTATCTGTTGCACCCAACTGAAATAGAACATTGAATCTATTAAATATTATACATAAACAATATTTATTTATTATTTCCTCTCGCTTTCAGGTAAACATTTGGTAACACTGTCTATATATGAAGAACAACAACAACAATGAAAACAGCAATCCACTCTACAACTGAGCTGTTAGAGGACATAATATAATATAACATACAAAATAGGGTTCTAACCAGGGACATGTAAATTCATTCTAATGGTCTCCAAGGTGTGTCACTTTAGTATTTATGTTGACCTCAACCAGTCTACTCTGTTTCTCTCCTAATTGTTTCGTTTCGTTTTGTTTCCTGCTCTCCATCCATATTATTGTTGATCTAATATTTAAGACTAAGGCTATGATCAACCTGACCTCTAGATGGCTCTTTTAGCTGTACTGTCATGATTCTCCTTTCTAGATTCTGTTTAAACTCCTATATGATTAGCGTTCCATATAGATGCTGATTTTAGTCATAAAAAGACTTACATTTCTGTGCTCAACCACATAGTTACCCATTCAAAGCTGAAAAGGGCAATCAGAATAGAGGTCATTTAATTATTAAAAGTCATGGCAAATAACTGATTCAAATAAATGGGACACCCCATGTCTTCTCTTGGGTGGAATAAGTAATTGAGCTCTTCAACGGACATATTCCCAAACAATATGGAAAGTACTAAAATGTTCTAGCACAAAGAAGTAGCATAAAGAAACATCTAGGTAGTAATGAAGAACAGGGAATAACATATTTCCACTGAACAAGTCAACCTGCATGAAAGTGCCCAAACTTCCATTCAGGCTGGCCACAGGCTTTGCATAAGATTAGAAAAAAGAGGATGTTGCCTCTTAAATTGGAACATCACATTTCTTCCAAATCGGATTCTCAATACTTTCAGCATCCTTTATAATTACTAAGCTCAATTACACAGGGAAAAGCTGAACGTTAATTATTGTTCTGGCTTCACTGTGGATCAGGTTGTTCCATAATATACAAAAGAGAAGAAACCAGCACGTTCAAAGCAGTTCAGTTTCTGCTTTGGGGTTTAAATCCTTCGAGAGTTAAGCAAACTCCACCAAAGAAGAAAAACACACAGTTGTACTTTGAAACTGTGCAGTAGCTGGATATGTGACATGTAAGCAAATAAGACATGCCAGTAAACTAGGATCCAGAACACACACACACACACAAAGTCAAGATAAAATCTAACAAGTGGAAATCTTCATCACTGGTGCTACCAAAAGAGATAGATCTCCTATCTCATTCCATGCTTCCTTGGTTACTTTCTTTCAGTTCTTAGAAGTATCACTCTATGAGATTTCTATGAAAGATTACCATCCAATCTGACATCTCAAAATAATGAGATATGAAGGAAGACGCTGATCCCTGAAGCAAATTGGTCATTTAAAGGACCTTCTGCGTCGTAATTGAACAGCCATTTTCAGTTTACAGCGATCAAGTAAAAGTAGCAAAAGGTGAACATCATTATTAGGCATGTATGAAGCACCTTGCATGTAACTGTTCAGCACTACTCCATCATCAAAACATGGTCCCATTGTGACTAAGGCTGCAATTCTATGACTGTTCCTCCAGGAACCCCACTTAACTTGTCAAGGCTTACTTCTGCCTATCCAGATATTGGCCAGCACTGTGTCAGCAATTTACTAGAAGACTTTTCCCCATCCATTTGCTCATAAATGTCCTATTTTCTTTAAATAAGTAATTATTTGGTTTTAATCAGTACCATAAGGTGAGTTGAAAATTTATATTATCCTTTATTTTATTTTATTTTATTTTATTTTTAGGGAGATAAGCATAAAAAAACCAGCAATAATGATGCTAATTTGACACTTCAAAATAGAAATACAAGATTGTCAAAATATGGGACTGCTGGGCCTCTGCTAGTATAAATCAGCTAACCACAGTGCAGAATAATGACCTGCATTACTCAGAGACCAGGACTTCTCCCATATCTTCTGCCATGCTGAGGGGCCCTCTTTCACACTGCTTATGCTAAAGATTTGTAGGATCCTCCAAAGTGTTGTCTGAAGTGGTAAGAGGACCTTTAAAGGATGAGAAACCAGCAGAAACCTTAAGCAGAGACAAAAGTGCCTCAAATATACAACATGAAACAGAATGTTATGTACTGGCAGAAATATCTTGAGCTCTTCATTAACTGGACAAGTAGCTGATAGAATACAGTACTTCATTTTGCAAGAGACTGTGGGGTGATTGTTTTAAAAAATTAGAGGTCATGTTGCAGGTGGTCTTGATTCAGGCTGAACTAGGTATTACTTTACTGTCCCCCGTGATGATAATATTGACATGCCTTTAGTTGCAAAATTCATTAAGATAAGGTGCAGAGTTGCCTGTAGAACCTGGATGAAGAAATTTAAACTCCACAATCATAATTGAATTGGCTTATTAATATAGCTGCATATGTCTCTATAATGGTAAGTGGAAATGACCTTGGGAGACAGGAGGAAGAGCCACAGCTTAGGTCTGATAAACAAAAATTAAGCCCAAAGAAGGAGGGGTAGTAAAAGCAACTCAGAAGGGACCCTCCCTAGTTTTTGGGAGAGTAAAAGTGGGGGCCAGGTGGGGTACTTTCAGGTTTGCAAGATTGATGTCAGCGCTGCGAGGTAGTCCAGACAAGAAGTACACCCAGGAGTAGTAGTTTTGTTTTTATGGTAAGGTTACATTAACAGAATCTTGCAAGTCTGAAGGTATCCCTCCCATCCGTTACTTTTACTCTCCGAAAAACTAGGGAGGGACCCTTCTGAGGCACTTTCACCATCCTTCCTCCTTCAGGCTCAAATTTTGTTTATCAGACCATTGCCTAGGCTGCGGCTCTTCCTCCTGTCTCCCAAGGTC